ACCTCACCCCTGGCACTGGAGACAAATTCACTCCAGACACTCAATCACTTCTATATATTTAAAATCCTTTGGATGATAACTGAGACATCCTGCCACCTTATCCTGCTTCTAACTCCCCTCTGTCTGTCACTTTTGGGTTGAGACACATTGGTTTCTGATCCTTGTCCTGGCCACACCCACTCTGGACAGCCTCTGGCTACTCAATGGGACTCTGTCTTCCCTGAATGCCTCCTGTCTGTCTAGAGTCCACACAGCTGGGCCCCCCAGAGCCCTCCTCTCTGACTTCTGGACCTGAGTCACCAGACTTATTGGGGTCTAAAGCAGTTGTGGCCACAGAATCTCTTGGCCACTTCTATTCCCCAAGGGAAGTGGTGTGTTTTCCTACAAGATAGGGCTGAGCTTATCTGATAGGACTTCACCCAGGTCTAGAGAAACTGCTCATCTGTTCCAGACCATCTGCCTCCTGGATATGGCTTGATCCAACCATATAATGATGCTGTAAAGTCACTAGTTTCTGAGGATGATAGATAATCTAGCCCTGATGACCATTCTTCTAGGGGACTTATGGGGACAAAGTCTGACCTGGAGAAGCAGCCCTAATGGGGATAGATAGATAGATAGGTAGATAGATAGATAGGTAGGTAGATCTCTATATATAGAGAGAGAGCAGGCAGCTGCCTGGCCAGGTAGATAGATCTGTATCTACCTATCTATCTGGCCCTAATGGTTATATATCTATATATAGATATATATATCTCTATGTAAAGATATATATATAGATATATATATCTCTATGTAAAGATATATATATAGATATATATATCTCTATGTAAAGATATATATATAGATATATATATCTCTATGTAAAGATATATATATAGATATATATATCTCTATGTAAAGATATATATATAGATATATATATCTCTATGTAAAGATATATATAGATATATATATCTCTATGTAAAGATATATATATAGATATATATATCTCTATGTAAAGATATATATATAGATATATATATCTCTATGTAAAGATATATATATAGATATATAAAGATATATCTCTCTATATAAATATACATTTACATAAATATATATATTTACATATATAGATATATAGGGAGAGATATATTTTCTCTCTATATAGAAAGAGATCTATCTATATATATATCCATATAGAGAGAAAGAGAGGAGGCAGACACTTTGGCAACAAAATATATCTATTTTATATATAACTATATATCTATATATGAAAAAATATATATGTAATTATGTATTTGTATAGAGAGATATATCTCTTTATATACATATATATATATACACAGAGAGAGAGAGAGAGAATGACAGGAGACACAATCATGACACGATCATGGCTCATTGCAGGTTTGACCTCCGGGGCTGAAGTGACTGTCTCACCTCAGCCTCCTGTGTAGCTGTATAGTTGGGACCACAGGTGCACACTACCACATTTGGCTAAGTTTTAAAATTTTTTGTAGAGACAGGGTTTCACTTTGTTGCCAAGGCTGGTCCGAACTCCTAGGCTCAAACAATCCTCCCGCCTCAGCATCCCAAAGTGCTGGGATTACAGGTATGAGCCACCACGCCTGGCCCCTAAAGGTGACATTTCAGGTACCAGGGCAGGCCAGAGAAGAAGATACTTTTGAGGCTAAGAAGTCACCAATACTCATAAAACGACATAATAATAGCAAAATGTCAGTCATGGGTGGAACTTCAAAGCACATCTCCATCCGTGATCTCACTGAAATCTCCCAGCACATTTTCACAAAGGCAGACATGAATTTTCCCACCTTACAGAGACCGATACCTAAGGAGGTATAGTGACTCATGGGATGTCCTGTGACAAATATGGCTTGGTGCTAGGGACGGTGAAAACCATGGGCTATGGGCAGACAGACCCAGGTCAAAATCACAGCCCTGGGTGAACTAGTCACTTCACCTCTTAGGGCCTCAATCTCTCCATCTGTTAAATGAGGCCAGTGATCCTCACATCCCAGGACTCTTTGGGGGATCCAACCAGCAAGCCTGTGAGATGCCTGGCTGGTTTTCTGGTGGCTTTGGAATGGCTGTCATTCTGAGAACCCAGCTTCCCTTGCAGCATCCACACTGGCTGCTTAGACAGCAGGCCAGAGGGTCTGGGACTGGGAAAGCCCTGTGCCTTCCAGCTCTGCCAACGGGGCCCCCTGGCAGCCAGGTGACCAGTGATGTCATGATGGATATGACCAGGTGCCCTCCTCTCAGACTCAGAGAGGCTGGGTTCCAGGACTCAGTTCTGTGCCCAGGGTGAGCGTTCTCCTCTAAGGGTTGCCTCCATCTCTCCACGGTTGGACCTCAGATTCCTGCTCCAGCTGAAAATATCTTCATGGTGTGGCCCATCAGCCCCTGGGTATGGACTCTGGATCAGTTATGGGATCCCTGGATATGTTGTTATAACTCTCTGAGCCTCAGTTCTCCTACCATTTGAATAGGGAATACAAAACCTAGCTTTAAGGCTGTTGTGGGATTTAAATGAGAGAATGCATGGAAAGCGACTTAGCTCAGTATCTGGAACATGGTAAGCACCGAAGTGTTTGGTGACTGGGCACTCAGCAAAGTCTTGCTGAATGGATGAACATCCCTAGACCATTTTACAGAACAGGAAAGCTGAGGCTCAGGCCAGGAAAATGACTGGCTCACACCAGTGGCTAGGATCTTAAGAGTGCTCAGAAGTCAAAGCTCCGGCCACATCTTTCCCAGTCTTTGTTTCTTCCAAGCAGGTCCTTTCTGATTGGATTTTGGGGAAAGCTTTGGTCTCTTTGCCCACTTGACAAATTCCAGACCGTGGCTGGATCCACCCACACAGCTGTGAATGGACAGCGTAGGGTAGGGGAGAAGAGACACAAATCCTGGCCTCTCTCCAGCCCGTCCCCACTTCTGGACATTCTGGAAGCCACACCCTGTCCCCAAGACTCTCTGGAAACCCTGGCAGCCTTATCTGCAGAGAGGAGGAGAAGAGGGTCTGGGGCCAGCCAGTGAATGTCAGAGGGAGGAAGAAAGCAGGTCAGAGAGGGATGGAGAATATACCACGGGGCCTCAGCCACAGCTCTTGAGCACTCGCTGTCCTCCCGGACTGTAGACAGCCAGCAGAAACTGGCTTTCAGCCCTGACCCTGTCCTGAAGATGCTGGGTGACCTTGGGCAAATCATTTCTCCTTTCTAGGCCTCGGTTTCCCTATCTGTGGAATGAGAAGTTGAACTAGAGCAGGGGTCCTCAGTCCACCAGTAGGAAGCAGGGTTTCCAGAACAAGGCCCCTGACCCCTGTGCCCCATGGGCCCCACACCCACCCACAAGTGTCCGAGAATTTGGCTGTGGTATTTTATGTATCATCCCTGCGCTTCACAGGTACCACGGCCGGCAGGCAGATTACTCAACAGGCTTATGACACTCCTCGGTGACTAATAGATTCTTTTTCTGTTTGTGTTTTAAAGCCATAGCAATAACATTGGCTCCCAATAACCCCACTGAAATCACCATTATTCAGCCTGCCCCTACCTACACGATAAACAGACCAGCAAAAACATCTCTCCTTAGAAAAGGAGGGCCTCTGCTTCTCTCGCGGGGGACCACTTTTTTTGCTGATGAGGCTGGTGTGTGTTGGGGGTGGGATGGATTTATGAACTGGTTAGAATCATAGGATTAGGTCACTCCTCTTGTCCCCTCCAGCTCTGACCTACACACTGTACCTCATCAGAGGGAGGGGCTAAGCAGATACCATCTTCCTGTGAAAGTGGAAGTGTGGAGCTAAGAGTCCCGTGAGGAGGCAGACAGCCTGGCTTTTGGTGCCAGCTGCACCACTTGCTGGGCTAGGTGACCTTGGGCGAGTCCTATCCTCTCTCTGAGCTTGTCTTCTTATCTGAAAAAAATGGGGAAACTAAGATGACCTTCCCCTGGAGGTGGGGGGTAGATAGAAGGAAGTCATTCAGAGAAGCACTTGGCACAAGTCAGAGCTCAAAAACTGGGAGCTGTCCATATTAGATAGATGCCGAACCCCTGGGCAGTGGGCAGGAGTCCAACAGGGTGGGGAGGGTTAGGACTGACTTGAAGGGGGACTTGATGGAGGGTCAAAACACCCAGGATGACAAGTCAAGGGCTGGTCAGTGTCAAAGCCACTTGGTCTCTCCTTTTCTTTTTTTTTTTTTTTTTTTTTTTTGAGACGGAGTCTCACTCTGTCGCCCAGGCTGGAGTGCAGTGACGCAATCTTGGCTCACTGCAAGCTCTGCCTCCCAGGTTCACGCCATTCTCCTGCCTCAGCCTCCTGAGTAGCTGGGACTACAGGCGCCCGCCACCACGCCCGGCTAATTTTTTTGTATTTTTTCAGTAGAGACAGGGTTTCACCGTGTTAGCCAGGATGGTTTCGATCTCCTGACCTCGTCATCCGTCCGCCTCGGCCTCCCAAAGTGCTGAGATTACAGGTGTGAGCCACCGCGCCCGGCCTGGTCTCTCCTTTTCTGAGCAGTTTTATCTGTCAAAACTACAAAGAACAAAATAGCCCAGCACAACCCAGTCTCTCCAGCATCTGCCATGCAGAATTGCTCACTGCTAAATTCTTCAGAGAAAGAGAGCAGGGATTATCTCTAGCTCCTCTTCCTTGTGGGAGAGGGGGCAGAGCAGAATCTTCCATGGTTGACCCCCCGTCACAGGTTCTCCTCTCCGGGATTCAAAGCTCCCTGGCTTCCTTAGAAGCCCACTTCTCATCTGCTGTGGGCGGGAGAGCCTCACCTCCATCACCATCCACGGGCTCATTTCCCTCCATCCGTGGTTCTCCGCCCTGTGGGCCCCTTTACTGTACTGAAGTGATCTTCGTAGATAATATAGCCTGCCTCCACACACAATGAAAAAAGCCCAGCGGTGAGCTGGCAAACATTTAACAATCTCTGAAGGATTTTTTTAAAAAGCTTAATTTATATCATTCGTCAACTTCTGTTGGGTAAATACTTCCATCATGACTGATTTCAAACCAACACGCTGACACGGAATGCGGAGTGGAGAGAAATGAACACAGTCTGCTCTTGTGGGACTTGGCTCCAGCGCAACACTGAATAGAACTGAAATGAAATACATGGAAAGGATCTTATAGTAAAAAAAATACATTTCTCTGTTTTCGTGCCCAGGGCTGACTACCCTAGAAGACATAACAGAAGGGTCCGTACGGAGGCCCACCGTGGTTGCAACTGCTATGTGTGTACACAGGGCCAGGTGTGCCACTTTAGTCCTCAAACATCATGGGAAGCATTGCCATCAGTGATGTAATTTTTGGGAAATGGTGAATGAGTCTCTACAATGTTTTGAACAAAGGACTATCTTCCTTCAATTTGCAAGGTGGTTGTGTTCTTAGAAAACTCAGGGTGTATTAGAATCATGCTAAAAATAATTTATGCTTATACATAAAACCGAGTTAAGCTAAAGACACAGAACTTTTATTCACCAAAATGTCCCACAAGATTTTTAAATGTCCCCACTTGCAAAATGCCTGTGGAGACCCTCAATCATCATGACATTAAAACCCACTCCCGTGAATTTCCAGAACAGTCTTTGGTGCGGTACTTGGCACCTGTTGAGATCACTGCTACAAAGGCACACACCACTTCACTCCAGGAAGACCACTCTCTAAGACTCCCACCATGCTGTGAGCTTTGCTAATTTGCTTGTGAAATTAGCTTCCACATGGAATTCTGTCTTCCAAATTCTGACCTAGAGTTTAGCCACCCATCACCCATCCAACCAACCATCCATCCATCCATCCATCCATCCCTCCATCCCTCCATCCCTCCACCATCCATCCACCCATCACCCATCCATCCATCCATCCATCCATCCATCCATCCATCCATCCTGCATCCATCCTCTATCCGTCCATCCATCCCCCACCCATCCATCCATCCACCCATCCCTCCATCTATCATCCATCCAGCCACCCATCCATCCATCCTCCATCCATCTGTTCATCCATCCATCTATCCATCACCCATACATCCATCCATCTATCCTGGCCCTCTGTGCCAGGCCCTGTACAGTACAGGGACTTAAGGACCAAGGATGAAGCCAGCCTGACTCCTATTCTAAGGGATCTGTCAGGTAAGTGGGGAGTGAAACATATAGATAGACATCATAGACAATGACAATGCAATGGCCCAAGTGAGATGACAGAGTGAGGTGTGTTTGGCCATGCAGCTTACAGGTAAGACTACCAACTTTGGTCTTGAGCACCTGAGTTTGATCCTTACCTGGGCAGGTACTCACGGTGTGACCTCAGCAGAGTGGCTTTAATCTCTGGGCTTTGGTTTTCTCTGCTATAAAATCAGAGATTAAAAAACTTGAATGTCCCAAGGTTGTTGTGCCAGTAAGTTGGGAGAAAGATCATGAGGGGTCCACATGTCCTGGTGGGGGTCTCAGAGAATCAGAATTGGCCAGTCACTGGCTCCTTCCTAGCAGACCTACATAGCCAGCTGCTCTCACCTGACGGTACACAGGCTGTTCTGTGGCAACCAGGTTGGGCAGATTTCTGCTGACGGGATGATTCGTAGATTGATTCAGAGTTCACTGAACTTCCAGGGCTGGCCCAGTGTCCTCACTGTGTCCTGGCCTGGCTGGAATGACCCTGCTCTGGGCGGGATGCTTGGCTGGGGGAAGGCGGGTGAGTCAGTAGCTGCTCAGAGGCCCTTCTGGGGCCTGCCACTCACCAAGCTGAGCCCCTGCCATGGGCCAGCCCCGAGTATCCAGTGACGCTGGAGGACATCAAGATGAACAGACGCTCCCTGACCCCAGGGAGCTCCTAGTCTGGTGGACAAACACACCATGGACACATCTCATCCTTTTAGCGTGTCCATATTACCCTCAGTGACTTCCACATTACTAGATGGCTAGTGGCTACGCCTTTGTCCCCATCACCTAAAACCTCTCAGCTGCCTCTGGCCCGCTGACCTCTTTCCTCTGGGGCCCCTGTGGCAAACCCCATGCTCCCGCTCAGAGGAAGACTTCGACCCTGGTTCCAGCACTGCTCAGCTGCCGTACGCCGCCGCGGGGAGGAGGAAATCACCCCACTTCCCCATCTTCCCCCAGCCCCAGTGTGCTCCCCAGCCCCATGGCCTACAAAATAGCAAACAGCTGCTGTGACCAGGGCTGCCCAGACCCCAGGGGCCGGGGGGGAAGCAGGCCAAGGGGAACTTGGAGAAAGAGCTCTTAATAACATACCTTCCCCAAGCTGCTTCCAAAGAAACTTCTCCTCACAAATCATTCCATAAACACTTAGCAGGCTCTCAGGAAAGCGTGCACAGCTCTCACCCGGCTATTAGGAGGCTCCTCACAAGTAAATTGAGACCAGGCAGCAGAGGCCTGTGCCAAATCCCCTTTCCTGCCCTCTTCCCACATGGGCGTCCTCCTCCCCCACCCTGGGCCCTTCAGTTCCAAGGGCCAAGGTCTCCTCCCCTGCTGCTCCGGCCTCTCCTCTGACTCTGGCCCTCTCTCCCTGCTGAGCTCAGGGTGCCCTGCTTCCCTGGAAACCAGGCGTCCTCCCCAGCATGGCTGCTAGGTTTCCAGAGAGCTCTCCTGGGCTGCTGTGTAGACCTAACTCCTACTGAGACTTCCGAGGGCCACACCACCAGGCCAGGCATGGACAGACTGGGCCAGCCCACGGCCCCACTCTGTCCCAGCCACCCCTCAGCAGAGGCTGCTGGTGCCTCTCAGGCTGTGGCTGCTCAATAGGGAAATAACTCCAGGTTCATCCAAGTCACGAGCTGGAAAATCCCTCCCATCCAACAATCCCCCTCCAGGGAGAGCATTGTGCAACCCACTCAGCTGGATAATATCCAGCACTTGGCTAATAGCCAATGGGGATCGGGGAATTGTCTGATTGTTCGTAGGTTGACACATTTGCTTACAGGTTAGCAGCTTGCTTGTGTAATGACTTTCATTAGGGTCTTGGAGAACAACAGTAGGAGCTGGCACCCCAGTCTAGCTCTTCATCATCATAGGCTTTGGAAAACACTTCAAGAATGATCGCCCCTTTTTCTAGGTTTATCCAATATCGTTTTGAAGAACAAAAGGCTCTATTGTAAACAGAAATCATGGGTGAAATAAATAAAACATTCAGATGAAAATAACCTGCAGATTTGTAGGCACTGCAATTAGCGTAGATGGGCTTTGAGAGACAGGCCCTGGGCACAGGTCTCCGGTCAAGTCCCAGCCACCAGTGATTGGAAAGCTGACCATGGGCAGGCCCCTGTAAACCTCAGTTCTTCAACTCTAAAATGAGGATAAATCTTACCTATCTCGAAGAGCTGCCGGGACCAGCTCCTCCTGCTCCACCACCTCTTCACAGGAGGTTAGTGGAGGCCTCCCAGGGAACCCAGAGGCTGGAGGCCTTGCTACAGCACCAGGCGTTCTGCTGCCCGCTCCAGGAGTTCAATCACAGGTCACCCATTCAACCTTTCTTCCAGCAATCATTGAGGAAGCCTCTTGTATACACCAGGCACTGAGCAAGACAGTGACCAACACAGACACAGGCCTGCCTCATGAGGAGCAAGCAGAGAAGGGGGACAAGCACAAAAGGACAAGTGCTGACCTGTAGCCACGGTAAGAGTTACAGTGGCCCTGAGTCAAATGACTGAACGTTTCCTTCCACAGGGCAGGGAGTCAGACTCCAGGCTCCAAGCTGCACAGAAACTGAACTCCAGGCCCAAAGGCACCCGTGAGAAGAATCAGGCTTCTTGTGTGTTGGCTGTAGTGGGAGAAAGAATGAAGGAGGGGGTCTAGACCACTATGCTGCTGCTGCTGCTGAAGGCGAAGATGATGGTGATAGCTACAGTTCTCAGAGCACCCACCTAGTGCCAAGCACCATGCTTTGCTTTCATTGCGGATGATCCTCACCACAACTCTGTAACTACAGATGGGACGCTGAGGTTCAGAAAGGTGATGTGAGTCATCCGATGTCACACATCTTGGAAGCAGAAGGGGCAAAATGGAAGCCCAGGACTGTCTGACGTCAAGAAAACATGGCAGTGGGCCCCTTCTGTGGACCCGAAACAAAGGAGTCACCTCTGGAAATAGTGAAGTGGGCACCACTCCAGTGTGTGGTCTGTAGCCTCTTCCAAAGCTAGTGTTCCCAGATGTTGGGACCTGAATATCCAGCCCTGGTTCCCTGCCCCTTTGCGCCCACCATTATCCTCCTTAGACATCTCAGTCCCATATACATCCCTGAGGAGTCTTTTTTTGGTAGGGGTCAGGGGATGGGGTCTTGCTCTGGCACCCAGGCCGGAGTGCAGGGGTATGATCACAGCTCACTCAACTTCCTGGGCTCAAGTAATCCTTCCACCTCAGCCTCCCCAGTAGATGGGACCATGGCCACAAGCCACCAGGCCCAGCTAATTTTTTTACTTTTTGTACAGACAAGGTATCACTATGTTGCCCAGTTCCTGGCCTCAAGGGATCTTAAGTTCCTGGCCTCAAGGTATCCTCCCACCTCAGCCTCCCAAAGTGCTGGGGGTTACAGGCGTGAGCCACCATGCCTGGCCCCTGGGGATTTTTAAGTAGAAATTCCTCCACTCGACAGTGAGGTGGTGCTGCCTGTCCACCTGCGTGCCTGTCCTCACATCGCCTGGCTCAATGGGCCCTAGACCGCCCACCTCTCTCCATCACGCCTGCCCTTTCCCTCCCCAAAGCTTTGGCACACATTGTTTCTTTCCCTAAAATGCCCTTCCTGTCTTCTTCTAATGGACTCCTACCCATTCCTCAAGGTTCAGCTCAAACTCCACTTCTTCCCAGAATTTGTGATTCCTCGCCTTCTGGGAAGGTGACACAAGAGAGGAGAAAAAACACTTGTTTTCACTTTAGAAAACCTGGCCCTAGCCCTTACCTAATGTACAACAACTGTGAACAAATCACATTTCCTCTCTCTGGATCAGTTATCTTAACTATAAAATAGGGCTAACAGACCAGGCTTGGTGGCTCACGCCTGTAATCCCAGCACTTTGGGAGGCTGAGGCTGGTGGATCACTTGAGGCCAGGAGCTCGAGACTAGCCTGGCCAACATGGTGAACCCCTATCTTTACTAAAAATACAAAACTTAACCGAGTGTGATGGCACGCACCTGTACTCCCAGCTACTTGGGAGGTTGAGGCAGGAGAATCGCTTGGAGGCTGGAGAATCGCTTGAATCTGGGAGGTAGAGGTTGCAGTAAGCCGAAATTGCACCTCTGCACTCCAGCCTGGCAACAGAGTGAAACTCTGTCTCAAAAAAAAAAAAAATAGGGATAATAATTATTACTTTGTGAGCTTAAGATGGTGACTAAATGAGGTATGAATATAAATGCTCTTTGTAAACAACAGAGTGCACCGGGCATGGTGGCTCACGCCTGTAATCCTAGCACTTTGGGAGGCTGAGACAGGCAGATCACTTCAGGTCAGGAGTTTGAAACCAGCCTGGCCAACATGATGAAACCCCATCTCTACTAAAAATTCTCCCTGCAAAAAAGAAAAAAAAAAAAAAAAAGGAGCTGGATATGGTGGCATGCACCTATAAGCCTAGCTACTTGGGATTCTGAGGCAGGAGAATTGTTTGAATCCGGGAGGCGGAGGTTGCAGTCAGCCAAGATCATGCCATTGCACTCCAGCCTGGGTGACAGAGCAAGACTTTGTCTCAAAAAATAAAATAAACAAAAAATAAATGACAGAGTGCTAAAGGATATTATTTATAATCAACAATCTCATTGCCACATAAAGTGACAAAAATTGGCTTAGTCAAAAAAAGAAAGAAGGAAAAGAAAAATATCGACTTATCTAACTGCAAAGCCCAAGGGCGTGAGAGTTTCAGGCACAGCTTTATCTAGGGGCTCAAATTCTGTCCCCAGAACTGCTTGCTCCATCTCTCGGTTCTGCTGGTTCCCATGTTGGCTTCATTTTTAGGCTTCATATAGTGAAAAGATAACTACGAAATTAACTTCCACGTTCAGGTTCAGCCAAAAAAAAATTTTTTTAAGAGTCCTGCTTTCTCAGTAGACCCAGCAAGTATTCAAATATGTAACCCATTTCTCCTAACGGGTCACGAGTCCATCCGTGAACAAGTCCCTGTGGCCAGGAATATGTGATGCTCTGATTGGTTGGGCCTATGTCTCACAGCCAGCTCTGGAGCTCTGGAGTTGGAGGATGGGGAAAACACTATCTGAAATATAGGAGCCAATGCCTAGGGAAGAGTGGATGAGAGGAACAATTACCCTAGAGCAAAAGCAGAGTCCTGCCACCAGAATAAAAGGGGAAAGGATGTTGAGGACAAGATAATAACTGCCCACACAGTCCACCCCTTTGATGGGCTGACATTCATGCATGCCTTTACTTGCATACAAAATAATACCTTCCCACTTCCTCCCCTCTCTCAAATAGAAGACAAATCAGAGACTCATAATACTGAGTTCAGAATCTCTGGGTGACTTACATTCTTTTCCGTCAGAGTTAGATGTGTTCTGAGGTCCTGCAATCTGTGGTTGAAAGACGATCACTCCAACAGACCATGACTCCACAATGGCAGAGAGAATTGGTTAACTGCAATAACAGTTCCTACTGAAAAGAGAGAAGAAAGAAAAACAGCACACGGCGCTACCGGTCCGCAGCATTCACCAGTTCCTGATGAACAGGGATAGCAAAGTCTTCCTGTCCTGGGTGGAGAAATGAGTTACTTGAATGGAGTGGTAGGCAGCATACGCTCCCCACCCCAAAGATGCCCACAGCCTGATCCCTGGAACCTGTGAATATGTTATGTTAAATGGCAAAGGGGAATTAAGATCACAGATGGAAATCGGGTGCTAGTCTGCTGACCTTAAAATCGGGAGAAAATCCTGGATTATCTGGTGAGCCACTGTAAGCACAGCGTCCTTGAAAATGAAAGAGGAGGCAGCAGAAGAGTCCATGTCTGAGTGATGGGATTCAGGAAAGACTCAATCAGCCATCGCTGACTTTGAGGAGGGAAGGGAGCCACGAGCCAAGGAGTGTGGGCAGCCTCTAG